ATGATGATGATGATGATGATGATGATGATGATGATGATGATGATGATGATGATAATAATAGAGTTTTTATAGCACATCATATCCACGCTTAGCAGCAAGCTCTATGCACTCGACACTTATTAATACCCCAAAAGACCATAGAACTTGACTCAGAAAAAAATCGGCTTCCGATGAAGCATATTAAAACCGAGCAAGCAGAGAATTATACGTGTTAAAATACAAACTGACAAGATCTTTCGTTGTGTTGTCCTTAGCCGGGTACCCCTTCCCACATGAGGGAGGTTGGGAAAATTCGTGTAAAGTGCCTTTCCCAAGAACACTACGAAGGGCCCTTAGCGGGATCTTTTACGACGCAGGCCAAATAGGTTTGAGTGTGATACAACAAAACATTATATCCAAGAATAATGGAAAAAATACTGTATTGTGTGGTCGAAAATTCGTGGCGCAACTTATCCCCAAATATCTCTTTAACGGGTGAACCAATGTCATCCATATTTTGCACAGCAGTTTGTATCAATTGTTTTAACCTAATAATATTTTCCACAGCAATCGAGGCTAACTTTAAAAAACCCAAAGTTTTCTTCATAAATTTATACAGAATACTGTAAATCTCCGTCAAGCGGAAAATGCGATTGTTCACAGCACTTCCCACTTCTCTTACACATTTTGCATTTGCATATAGCCTACCAAAGGACCTTTTTAGTGGTGAAACTTGTTACAAGAAACTTGCGTTTATAGTGAAGAAATTTGTTTTAGCAATAAAGGCTTTCAAAACGTGCATTTAATAAAGATACTGTCACAATTAGAAGAAAAATATGACAGATTTGCTTTTAAAAGCTATATTATTGCCCCAGCTATAAACCGTAAAAAATCTGTAGAAACCAACCACTCGGATTTTTTATTAGTATTTATTAAGGAATTTTCTAGAATACAGCTAACAGGTGTTTACAAAAAGTTTGATCTGTTAAGACAAATTAATGCAGGTCATTGTGCAAAAACTGGAGGGTCTATGTTTGGTAGTTTGAGAAATATTTGACAATAAGTTACGCCACGAATTTTTTTTTACCATACTATAGTCACTAAAATAGACTTCCCCACTTGGGAATTCACCACAAACTTACTGAGAGCAACGACTAAAAGCTTAGCTGTTACACTGCAGGCATGGCTTGACACATCAATGAGTCAAACAGCAGGGCCAACTTAATTTTTCTTGACAAAAGATAAAGAGCACAGTTGAAATTGTAGATGCAAAACCAGCATCTTCCAACATACATTTACGCCAAACATATTCTTTCTTTCTCTACTCGTGCGTGTGTGTTGTGTGTGTGTGTGTGTGTGTGTGTGTGTGTGTGTGTGTGTGTGTGTGTGT